GCCTCTGCAGCCTCGACTTATGCGGTGGCGCAGGTTTTGCTCCAGGTCCTCAACTTCATCCAAGTGCTCGCGTCGGGTTTCATGATGTGGAAGGGGCTGGGACTGGTCACGAATACGGAGTCTCCTATCGTTGTTGTCCTGAGGTGCGCATGGGTCACCAATTCTGCATGAAGTATGTGCTGAGTGCAGCGCGCAGTGGATCCATGGAACCTGCGTTCTACCGTGGCGACTTGCTCTTTTTGACCAATCCCCCGGCAAAACGGTACGCAACCGGAGACATCACTGTATATAAGATCCCGGGCGCGGATATCCCCATCGTCCACCGCGTGCTGGAGACGCATGACGTTGTCTCCAAAGAGTGCGTCCTCATCCTACCACGTAGATCGCCGCTTATCTATATGCAGCTACGTCGCTGCGAGTCCACTCGCACAGCCGCAGCTGATATTGACAAAAGGAGACAATAACCCTGTCGACGATCTGGACCTGTACCAAGGGCTGGAGTGGCTCGAGCGGAGACATATCATCGGCAAGGTGCAAGGGTGAGTGCTAGCAGTCACTCGCAGTTTATCCGTGTCTCAACCCGGCCCTGTCAGCTTCCTGCCATACGTAGGATACGTGACTATTGCCATGGTACGCTTCTGTCACCGCGCTGCTGTCGTCGATCATAGCTAACACGCCCCGTATCGTGCCAGAACGACTTTCCACAGCTCAAATACGCGCTGTTAGGCGGCCTCGGCCTGCTCGCGCTCATACAACGCGAGTAATGTAAAGGATAGTGCCTGTCGCTTTCGCCCTTCGCTGTACTTCTTACTGGGTAAATCCGGATTAATTATTCGCGGCCGCGAAAGTTGAGTACACCGGCGGCCGTGGATCAACATGAGAAGGTCGGAGTGGTAGTAGGCGTTTATACCGGGAACAGTCTTCCGAATGACTGCGTTGTCTCTCACATCTGCCTCTGTTAGAACCTTGGCACACTTCTCAGCTTCCCAACAGGTACTCTAGAGCCAGAACGTGGTAAGACACGCCCGCCGGACGCGCAAATTGCGCCATACAAATGTATTTACCCTCCTTGACGTTCACCTTGGGTCTGTGGGTCGCATCCTGTCCCATTCGGCGCTGCGCTGGTATTCTGGTTGGAGCTGGAAGCATCGTCATGCCTATAGACATTGAAGAGCGTCGGCGATCTAGCGAACCCGACACACTCTGGGACTTCGACTTCGAGCTCGATTCGTGGAAAGGGGAGTTCGCGTCAATGTGATGCCTGGAGGGTGCAAGGTGTTCGAGGACGATGCAGATGAAACCTTAGACAGATCGCTGCTCTCGAGAGCCATGCAGGGTGCGTCCAATCTTGCGGTATGATCTACGAATTCCCAACCGATGGTATTTATAGTAAGATCCACACCAGTGCCGCCGTCGCAGAGGGCAGACAGACGGCCCTGGCAACTTTTCTGCATATGGTTTTCAGCGAATTTGAACATCCTGATGTATGGAAGTCGCCCTTACGGATCCACTCCTCTGCTCGCATCACTGCCCACAACAGGATGGCTGCTGGGTCGTTGGGACCCGCGCTTTACGGTCTTGGCACACGGGGTGCCTGCCTTGTTATCATTGTTGTAGATCTCGTGTAGGTGCGAGCCATCAGGGGCGCTCGCATACTGACTTTGCTGTAGGGTGTGTGCATTTCCAGCCTTCTTGTGGGTTGATCATGCGCCTTGGTGACCATAGCTTACGGTGATCTATGCAGCGCCATGTTTGGGCCGAAGCTGGGGCAGCGATCCATAGTCATTGCTCGATTCTCCTGGGGGTGAATGGTCCATGCGAGAAATGTGATCATTCATGTTGACCGAAGGACATCCAGGTATTATGGCGGGCTCATCCCGAGTGTCCTCAACATACTATCGTGCCAAGGATACCTCATCATCAATACCATCATTGGCGGGCAAGCACTGGGACGTCTCTCGCAGCATCTGAACGCGACGCTCGGGATCGTCATCATTGGCTTGATCACACTCGGCGTGAGCCTATGTCGTTCCTATCATGTTGATGCGCTTATACCAGAGACCAGGTCGTCTTCAGCGGATGCCGCATGCTTCACTGGTACGAGATTTTCGTCTGGATACCGAACGCGGTCGCGTTCGTAGTCATGCTCGCTGTGAGCGGGCAGCATCTTGTCGAAGCGCCGCTCTCTGCGCCGATGCCCGCTAGCGCAGCGAGCGTGATGAGCTTTAGAGCGACGCTTGCAGCTAACCTGGTGAGCTATGCGACCCTCACGCCAGATTATGGCGTATACCATGATCATACAGCGAGCGCGTGAGCCTAGAATCTGCTCGGCAACATATCGGCTACTGACCGATGTTCAAGTCTCGAATATTCGTGTTTACTTATCTGGGACTCCTCCTCTCCATTGTACGTTTATTACCCTGCTTCAGTTCTCTCCTGCAGCAAATCTCCGTAGATGCCAGCCCAGCTCCTGGGTGCCTCCTTCGCCGCCACCGCTATGTAGGTTCCGTCTTGGCAGACGGGGATGGGCAACGGTCGGCGGGCTTATCGCTGCCGTGCTTGAACCCGCTGGGGGTGTTGGCAAGTTCCTCCTCGTGCTCCAGGCGCTCACTGCCCCCACCCGACGATGTACACTGTATATACGAGCTTCATGACGATGGCCCGGCCCCTCCAGCAGATACCTCGCTTTGTGGTGGCAATACTGTCGACGATCGTGTGAGTACTTGTTATGTCGCTAAGCGAGTTCGCGTGACTGGAAACCGTCCTGCATATAGCCTCATTCCTGTAGCCGTGGCCGGGCCTAGCACGTTTCAAACCACTTTCTCGGATATCATCAGTGCGTACGAGTATATTCACCGCTTCCCTAACTCAAATTTGGATATTCAGGCTTCATCAGCTACTGGATCGCACCCTTCTGTGATATCGTCCTCGTTGAGCACTTTGTCTACCGCCGGAATCGCTGGGCCGCATACGACGTCCTTGAGGCATGGGACGAACCGTCGCATCCCAACCTCCCGCGCGGATACGCGGCGAGCTTCACGTTCGTCGTCGCTGTAGGTTTCATTGTTCTATGCGTAGAGCAGGCTTGGTGGACTGGGCCCATCGCCGCTGCGGGCACGGGCGATGTAGGGATGCTATCGAGCTTCTTGTTCTCGGTGCCCGTGCATGTGGTTGCGAGATGTGTCGAGAAGCGGTGGACTGAAGGGCGTATCTGAGATGTTTTCAGGAAGTTACACCTTGTGCGCTGTGCTCAAGGACCGCGATGCCATGGCTGCTACCCATCACATGATACGCCTATGGTCGGTGGATGGTACAGAGAAAGGGACTGAGTTTCAGGTACCTTGCATGGAGTGGTAATGTGTACCAGCGAGCTGCAAGCGTCGACAGTTACCTACTAGAGCAGCCGTATTTCGCCGGAAGGATGAGAGAGATGGATATTGGCGCGAGACGGGAATTCAAATATTCAAGAGTCAAGGGCCCTCAGCTCTATACTCCTTAGTATCGCGGCCATCACTGACACCTCTTGATCGATTCGATTGGCATCGGGCGGTAAGTTCAGACCCTTGTTCAAGCTGGTCGCAAACACTAATGTGTGTGTAAAGTATTATTCTGATCGTTGGCAAAGTGTCAATACGTGTGATGGAGGGGGAGGAGGTATTGATTTAGGCACGTCGCGGTCCGATCCGACTATAGTCATTTACTGCGGTAGATTGCGGTCCCTTGGACAGTGACACGAGTTTCTGACCTGTCTATCGTCTGCAGGAGACATGCCACCACACGTAGTTGTGCAATCATCAACAATACCTCAGTGGTCTAGGAGTCAGGTCACTTATGCCTCGAGCAGTGTGTCGCAGTGTCTGATTTATGCTTCCCAGTCTTGATTATGTCCACTTGCGAGGTTATGAGTATTCATACAAGGAATTTAGTCTTGCGACTACTGCCGCATTGTCCAACGGACAACCACCGTATGTTATAGTCTTGGTCTTGGTCGAATGGGACATGGCATGCTACCCACTGTAGTAGTTGATACCACTGATGCTCACTCGCAGCATCTACGCATAGGTACCACAGCCTGTGTCAGTGCGCAGTGAGCCTTCTGCGGGCGACTACCCCCTTTTATTTTATGAGTTTTCTGTGGTTCATCATCACAGAAGGCTCGTAACAGGCACTTTGAACATTGTGTTATGGGCTAATACCGGATGTCCGACCATCTTGACCCAACGGAACATGATGCCACTCTGTTTACTGAACGAGTATAGTATGTCACGAACAACGTACTATATACAGTCCGGAGTTCTCTATAACACCAGTCGTAACGGATCCGCTGAGTGACGATACAACAGCAGCAGACTTCGTCCTCGTAGATGCAAGACAGAGTGAGAAAAAAGATGTTATGAGTTGTCTGTAGTTCACGCCTCTCAAGCTGAGGCATGTGCCTTGTTGTCCGAGATGAGCTCGTCCGCAAGGTCCGAGGCATTTGGGATCGACAGCAGCGTATCAGCTTGCTCGTATGTAGGGACCACATTGTCGATTGAGAGTTGCGCCTCCGTGACTTCGGAAGCATAGCTAGGGTGCACGCCCACTGGCGGTCACGGCGGGGGAGGCCTCTGGAAGGGCGGAGCGGTTGTCTGTGCGTGGAAGTATGCAGGCTGAAACCCGAGGTGCACTACGTCCAGTCCGAGACTTGGTTGCACTGGCAGGGATTGCGGCATTGTCGCCGGAGGGGTGCCAGGCGAGGGGTGTAGCAGTGAGCGCACCATGAGTCCGTCGTAGTGGTTGCTCACTGGCAGCGTAGATGGCACGCGAGCAGCTTCCGGGGGTTGCCAACGCACGAGAAGGGCTAGTAGAGGGGTCAGGAACATTGGACTGGGCAAGTCCGTAAAGTAAAGTGCTAGGCTACCTTGATGCCGGAATCTTGTACAGTAGCAGCCGGTGCCGGTTGCTACTCACAAGCTGGAAAATGTACACCGTGCTGGCGGACTCCATGAAGGGCAAAAGAGAGGCCCTGCCAGGGTTCGAACCTGGGTTGACGGAATTTTATCAGCTCAGAATCCGCCGTGATAACCGCTACACTACAGAGCCACTTATAAAGGGTCCTGCCGCGTGCAACACAACGGCAGGAGAAGCATCCAACGGATTTGGACGATTGAGAAACACGGTAATGATGTTGACACTTGCGGGACAAGGCCGCACATCCAGTATCAGATGGGGCTGTGTACCATTGCGGACTTACCTAGGCATAACGGTGCAGTTGACCTCTGCCAGAGATACTAGGCTCCATGCTTGTGACTTAAGAGAAGCCAGCCACGGACTCTGAGATGTGCGATGAGCACGAGTTGCAGTTTAACGTTACCTCATTCTGGCGCATTGGAGTACGCAAAGTACCTAGGCGTGGAGCGGGTGTCATGTCTGTGTGCGGGCTTGCATCGCAGACGCCACTGAATTGGACGCCTGCCTTGAGAAACTGAGGCGATATCCTGTCCCTGTGTTCACGTCGGCACCCACGCATACGGCAGCATTTCAAGGCTGACTTACCAGCAGTGCTGTGCCGTAGAACGGCAGATAGCTTCGCTCCGTGTAAGGAATCCCCAGACGGACCGCCGGGCCAATCAGGTTTCCGTCCATGTTCAAGTACTCTCCGACCTTCGACGCCGCGACATAGATACGCCCCAACTGTGCATGGAACTCTAAGACGGCCGTATCGTACGCCACAGCGATTCACTATCTGAATGAGCCCCGCTTGCAGGTGACCCATGTATCCGAAGAGTCGGTACTCCGACGGCTCGCAGGGACATACTTCGAGATATGAGTAGTGCCCTATAAATGACCTCTCAAGTTGCGCGGTAGGAGCATCTCAGCCGACTCACAAAATGGCACCTCCCACCGCTACCGAGACTCAGACTCAGACAGTTCCTGAGTCAATCGCTTTCCAGCTGAGGGGTATCAGAGTTGCCGACCCAAGGCATCCCTCCCGTGCCTCTGTCCCCACGAAGTCCACAGAATACGATGAACAAACGCGTCTAGAGGCCATCAGTCACGGAGACATCGCCCTTCCTCGTAAGTAACTGCTTGCTTGCTCACATGATTCGACTCGGACGTCCGACTGACGAGTACTCCCGCCTCCAGCACCGCCGACGTTCCACTCCGTCCACGAAGAGCGCTCATTCCAGACCGCCCACCTCGCCGCCGCCTTCCGCTCTTGGGCGCGCGAAGGCTACACCGAAGGCACCGCCGGGCACATCTCCGTGCGCGACCCGGAGATCCCGAACGCGATGTGGATCAACCCGCTCGCGGTGCACTTCGGGCTGCTCAAGGCGTCCGACATGGTGCTCGTCGACATGCACACAGGAAAGGTGCTCGGCGGGAACCGTGCGCGGCCCGTGAACCAGGCGGGCTTCCTCATCCACCGCGCGGTGCACCAAGCGCGCCCGGACATCCACGCCGTCGCACACGGGCACACCATCGCCGCGCGCGCATTCGCGACGCTCCGCCGCCCGCTGCGCATGCTCACCCAGGACTCGTGCATCCTTTACGGGAAGCACGTCGTGTACGACAACTACGGTGGCCTCGTGCTCGGCGACGAAGAGGGCCGCAGGATAGCAGCGGCGCTCGGCGACACGGCGAAGGCTGCGATCCTCATGAATCACGGCTTGCTGACGGTCGGGAGGACAGTCGACGAGGCGGCCTATGTGTTTGGGCTGATGGAGCGCAGCTGCGACATTGAGCTGAAAGCAATGATTGGAGAGCTGAAGGGTCTGACGGTAACGGAAATCACGGACGAGGAAGCCGCGTATGTCCACAAGACGTCCTCCGACCCCGGCGTGCTGTACTGGCAGTTCCAGCCGTACTATGACTTTGAGTACGAGTCTTGCAATGGCAAGTTTGACGATTTCAAGGGCCTGTAGGTGAGGTCGAAGGCAGTACATTAGTATATACAGACGCACCTGTCACAATTTGCCTGATTGTATACATAGGCTTGGTCGTGCTGATATCTTTGGCGTACACGTCGAGAAAAAGCAACCTGACCGCGAACGCAATCGTAAACGGAGGGTTGGCAACTCCGATGACGACCTATGGCCAAATCAGTTGAACGCATCGCGAGGTACAAGCCACATCATTCAAGTACGCAATGACAGGCGGACACGCCACGATTGTTCCGCATCCCCTATATGGTATTGCTGACACCAAGTGTCCATGATGCTTTTGATGATGCAACGAACACAGGTCCACAAGCTGCTATGTGTACAGCTAGGCATGGGCAATCAAGTGTGCGGCAAGTCATGGTGAACTGAATAACGATGCCGGTGAATTGACAGACACATGGCGGTCATATAAGATGACGACAAACAACTCACCGACATGCCACGCCATCTGTCTAGCGTCACAGCTTCAGCCCGTTCCTGTGAAGCATACGGACAGATCCTACTCACCGAAACCTCCGCAATCGATGCATTCGCTTCGTCGTCCCGCCGGCCTTTTGCAAGCTAGATCAAGAGAGCCACGCTTCCATCCCAGATGTGTCTCAGGCGCCGCGGAACTGCAAGGTCCAAACAGACACAATCGGAGGCGGTACGGAAGGATGTGGCTCGTCGATCAACGCCTACGTCCATGGCGTCACGACGACTCCAGACAGACAGTTGTGATTCGAGCGTAGCGCTGCTGTCGAAATGAGAACTGGGTGGCTGTGAGCGTACCTTTCGGACCGTGAAGGTATCCGCACTATTGTATACAGTCCACAGGATTGGCGAGAAGAAGGATTGTGAGCATACAGACACATACTGCAACTGTAAGTCGCGTTGGCTGTATGCTGGTAAGATGGCGAGGGATGGGTACTGACACAGAGGCAGGGAGCCTTCAAGCATGTGGCTGGCAGCAGACGTGTTGAACATTCACGGCCCCGACGGTGCTGCTGTGCAGTACGTGGTAACGCAGTGGTTGGGGTAGCGTCGTAACCATGTCTTATTCGAGTGATGCTCAGCCCTGCAGTATGCACAGTCTGCATAGCTCTATGGCTTTGGGGGGGATATATTAGTTCGAATAGCTTGAGGAGCCTATAGAACCACTCGCCCTCTTTGAAGCAGCCTAGTAGGCCACACTGCGACCTTTCCACCGCCTCCTCCTCCCGTTCTATCCCGCACCTAGAAATAGCATATCACTAGAAAACATATTTGCCATGGTCATGATTTACGCAACCCTCACCTTCTTCGCACTCTGCGCATGGATCTTGCTTTGTGATGCATTTGGCTTTCCGGGAGAGCCTGGCCACCACCACGTAGACTGCGGCATCCGGGAGATGCTGGTGAACACCGTGCCGAGTACGTCCAAATCGCTGCACCCTGAAGACGAGTCCGCTAACACAGGAGAGCAGCGTGTGCAGCCACCTGTTGGGAGACAGCAAACTACGGCAACTGCAGCGTCGAGATCCCAGATGCACGGTGTCTATGCTCCGACCGAACATTCGCAGACAGCTTGTACGGCTGCATAGGCACGAGCTGTCCTGTGGAGGATGCGCTCGAATATCTGTTGATCGCGGGTGAGGCCTGCATGGGCGTCGTGAGTGTTTCCTTGACTGCGTGTGAAGAGACGATGGCTAACCTATGACGTTCTGTAGGGCATGAACATCACGCTGCCGTCCTTCCTTGTCCAGGACTAGTAGAATCCGCATCCCGTCCTTTTAGATATATGAAGCATCACTCGACATGAATGCAGTCAAAGAGTCCAAGTAGTAATCAAATCGACGTGTAATTTGTAGCACTCACTTACGATACCAATCTTTAGTAGTAGGCGACCTATCATAGTATTCCAGTTAGAGCCCGCGGGTCACGGGCGATGTGGCATTCGATTTTGTAGCATGAAATGCATATTCCTGTCTCTTGGAACCCATGCATGAGAGCTTGCCTTGTCTCCCGCAGGCAGACCCACAGAATACCTTATGAGAACAGGGGAGGACGGTCTTCTGAACTAGCCTGACGTGAGTACAGGTGACCGGCCGCAGATGCGCGGGACATGAGACTCTAGAATGCGACGGCATAACCAAGGTGATAGTGTCCTCATTCTGTATTCACGGTCCCTTTTTCAATTTGTATCGTGGTCCATGTAGATGAGTAGACTCCGAGTTGGACGATGTCAGAATGAAGCGCTCAAGCAGTGTCAATGCCGGCGACTTGTCCTCCACCATCTCCTCCCCGTCCTCCTTCCAATCGCGAGCTTCCCCTAACCACAGAACGTGTACAATGCTGCGCCCCGCCTCCCACGACGACACCTGTCGAACACCTTGGCTGGGACACCTGCATATTGACGCATCAGCATCGGTACCTACGAGAAGACAAGCTGGACCACACTATGCCACAGCTCTGATAGCCATACGGGTGGATGCACAGTGGATCATCATCTTCGCATAAATGAGCAGGGAAGGATGATGAATAGAGCACCGGGCTTCAATGTCAAGTCTGCCGCACTGCCCTACAAGCCAACTTCCATTGAATACTAAAAGAACCGTCCATGTGTCTCGGCCGGGCGGTTTTCGCGGCCACATCTCAATACCAATGTATGTTCCTACAAACAGAGACCTTACATTCTTATACGTTCTCCCACCGACAACACATCAGTACTTCTACCCTCCCCGGTGCGGTCCATCACGGTGACTCTGACCTCACACTCACTTCTACTATGCGCTCCTCCATGTTCGCCTTCATAGTGCTTACTATCACAATCACCACAGCATCTGCACATCTCTTCGCACGGCAGCTGGGAAGCATCCCCGGTGCGTCCTAGCAGAGCTCCCCGTACCTGTGATTGCATGCCCTGACGTCTACCTTCCACCAGCGTGCGCGAGCACCTGCATCCAAAATACTAGCCCTGGGTCTTGCAGCCCGAGCGACGAACAGTGTCTCTGCACGAGTTCTACATACGTCAATGCCCTCGGGACTTGTATCCATACCAGCTGCTCGACCGCTGACATCGCTGCCGCAGAGAGCGCCCTCAAGGCGATTTGCGCGGGGGTGGTACGTCCGCCATACGCCTGCGTGTCCTCGTCCAGCTAAAGCGTGCCGTCCTCTAGAGCACGAGCCCCTCAACGTCGA